ATTATAGTGGTGATGGTAAAGGTAAGTAGCAAAAAGGCGGTAAAATTCAATTTAATCATAGCGAATAAGCTTAGAATATAAAATATTCCAGGATTTAAATTTCATCCATTTCTTTTCCATCAGGATCGTTAGAATGCCACACTTCGCTAGGAGTGTCCCAAGATCGGATTTGCAGCTGGGAAGCCATGGCCATCTCCTTCCAGTCCGTGCCAAGAACAACCATCCCCGTGAGCGCCACACACGCCACCACCGCCGCTAGCAATCCCAGCCACAGCCCCACCAGGCCCAGCCCCGCCCCAAATCCCAGCGCCACTCCACACGGCAGCCCAATGAGGTAGAACGATCCCAGGCTCGCCACCGCGCCCGCCGCTGGCCTCGCGCTCCCACGCAAGATCCCGCACAGCACCAGCAGCGGGAAATTGGCGAGCTCGATCGCACCCGCCACCGGCATCGATCGCCTTACGCTGCGCACAATCGCTGGATCGGCCGTGAAGAGCCGCCCCCACAGCGATCGCAACGCCGCCAGAGAGGCGAAGGTCGCCGATCCCATTGCCAGGCTTGCGAGCAGCGATGCGATTGCCGCGGTCCGGGCAGAGGAGGGCGAATTCGCGCCCAGCTCGTGGCCGATTCGGGTGGCGGTGCAGGAGGCGAGCGTGATCTGGAGCGCGTAGAGGATTGCGTCGAAATTCAGCACGATCGCGGCAGCTGGGACGGAGATTTCTGGATCCTGGAGCAGCCCGGCAAGAAGAACGATGGCCTCGTAGCTCCACCACTCAAGACAGACCATGGCGCACGAGGGCAGTGCCAGTTTGATCAGTGGCTTCCATCTCTTCCTCCTCGTGTTCTTCGTGTTCTCGATTTTAGGGTTCTTGGAAGAAGAGGCTCTGCTCTTGGCGAGGACGAGACTTAAAAGCAGCGCGAGCGTGAAAAGATCGCCAATGCCCATCGCCAGAGCAATCCCAGCGCCGCGCAGGTCCATGGCGAGCAGGAATCCGAGGCCAATGTGGAGGAGAATCCCGGCAGTGAAGGCGATGGTCATTGGCAGTGTGTCGCTCTGGCAGCGCAGGAAGATCCGCAGGGGAGTGATCACGGCCTGGAGGAACAGATCCGGGAGGAGAAATTTCAAGAATCTTGCTGAGGCGCGGGCCAGGGATGGATCTTGGCCCAAGAAGATCAAGAATCTCTCAACGCTGTAGAGCCAGGCGAGGGCGATTGGAATGCACGCCAGGAGCAACATGAGGATCGCATTTTGGAGCGCTGAGGCCATGAGATCCATCCGCCCGGCGCCGAATGCCTGGCTGCAAATCGGCTCCATTCCAGTGGCGAGGCCGAGGAGGATCGAGTAGCCGGTGACATTGGCGAAGGTGAGAGCTAGGGCGCCTCCCGCGAGCTCCACGCCGCCCAGCCGGCCCAGGAAGAGCGTGGTGGCTAGGAATTTGGCGAACCAGATGAGATTCATGGCCATGATGGGGCACCCCAGGCGGAATTGCATGGCGAGCTCGGCGCGAATCGCTGGAATTCCAATCTGGAAGAGAGAATTTCTTGCATCATCTCCTCCTCCTCCTCCTCCTTCAATCTGGATTTTCTCCTTTTCCACCAATCCCAAACTCAAATTCACTGGCGCTGTTGCATTTTCGATTTCTTTCTCTCTGGGGAAGAGAATGCCAGTGTGTTCATCGGCAAAATCTTCCTCCTCCTCCTCCTCCTCCTCCTCTTCCCCTTCTTCTTCTTCTTCTTCTTCTTCTCGACAGAGAACCATGCTTGCATTGAGCGCGCCGAGAACCCTAAATTCTCTTTGAAAGGCTCACGGGGAGGGGAAGCTCATCAACAACCTCGAACAGCGTGTGAAGGGGACACAGGAACGACGGTTTGGCCCAGCCACGCCAGCCCTAAACACGAACAAGAGGAAGCTTCTCGGCAGCAGCACCGTTGACTGCCAAAAGACCGTGTTCCTGGTTAGTTTCAGTCAATGAATGGAGGGCAGTCAAAGGTAGAAAGAACAAAGAAAAAGCTCCTTTACTTCCAAACTTTAAACTTTCCAAGAAACATGCCGACTTGTCCCAACTAGCTCTGCAAAACTCGTGAAACTTTCTAGTTTGGCACCTCCTCTGGCGATCAAACCACTGCAAGAACAGCATTGAGTTGTGAACGATCGTCTCAATTTTGGAATTCACCCAAGAGCTGAACTTACTTGAACCAGCGGTCCTGCGGCATTCTCCCAACATGTCAATGTAAAACTGACACTTCGATATGTCATCGGGATTGCCCGCAATGCACTGTGAAAACACAAGAAAAAAGATGATGATCTTATACAAATATGAAAGCGCAAACATGAATTATGTGTGAGACTTACATCCTGGAACGCTTTGAATTGTTTGAGGCATGGATCACTACCAGAGCTTGTTGGCTGAGGCAGAGCTTCTGCGGGAGTACTGGCAGCCTGAGAAGAAGGCGTCATTTCGTGCTGCACAACACGCGGACCCATGATCGCGTCTGCAGCCCGGTGAGCCACAGCGTTGCCGGCTCCAAACACAAGTCCTGGTAAAACAAACGAAAAGCCCAAGCCTCCTTTCAATCTTCTTCACAAACCGAAGTAGAATCGATCACTGGGGATACGTACCGTCTACCATCGTGGCCGCGATTCCTCCTCCTATGCCCCCGGCGCTGGGCTGCGGGACCGGTGCTGGAGGCGGTGCATGGTAAGCTGCTCAAGGAGATCGAGATGAAATGCGATCAAACCCGGTTGCGATTTACTGTATACCTGGAGCGGGCGCCTTGGCCGCCGATTTTGCTGGCGCCTTGAAAGTGCGAGTCTTACCGCCTCCGCCTCTGCTACGTGACATCGCTTTCTCCATGACACAAAAAGCCCTAAGAAAGCTTCTGGAAGATACCAGGCACTATTTATAGTCCCCTTTTGCTTTGGTCTTAAGAAAATGCACTATTGCGAATATGCCTTTTATTAAAGAACTGAGGGAAGATTCTTTTTTAGAATCGTCACCTTTCTTCCAGCGGCATTGCCCACCCAGCCTTTCTTTCAATGTTGGAAGCACTTCATCGATTGGCTTTTTCACAGCTTTTCAACTGCAAATCACATTTTAAGAGCAAGAAAAGCAGGAACAACTTAGAAACACAAACGGGATTCGAATGCGGGAGCGACCATTGACTGCCAAAAAGACTTGTTTTAGTCAATGGGTCGGCAAAAAGAACTCAAAGAAAAAAGCTCCAAACTTTAAACTTTCCAAGAAACAGCCCAACGAGGTCTGCAAACTGCAAAGCTCTGTAACTTTCTAGTTTTCTTGTGGCGATCAAACCACTGTAAGAATAGCATTCAGTTGTGAATGATCGTCTCAAAGTTGAAAGAACACAAGAGACAAACTTACAGGACGATGTGTATAAAGTGCAAAAGTGGACTTACACCCTGGAAGCCCTTGAGTTCACGATCAGAACTCGCTGAAGAGACAGAGCTTCTGTGGGATCAGCCCGAGAAGAAAGAGCCATTTTGTGTCGTGGCTCCTTCCCTCTGAGGAAAAATCAAGCTTCATTCAATTTCTTAACACCAAAATAAAATTGATCTTGGAGACTACATACCGTCTGCCATCTCCTCCTCGGCTCTGGGCTGCATGACCAGTGCTGGAGGCCATGCATTACTGTTGAGGTAAGCGTGATTATATGACATGTATATAGCGTGATTATGCGCTTCAATATAACTTGATAGAAAGCATGATATGATTGCCATATACACTTAAGATACACACTTCTTCCTCCTTGTGTGAATCCCTCTCCCCTACTCTTGGTATCAGAGCAATTGGCTCTTTGATCCTAGGCATTAGCCACAACACAATTGCTCCAATACCATGAAGAGGAAAAACTGCATATGTGAACTGTATATATGTTCCTAGAGATATAATTCTAGAGATATGCAAATCCATCTGAGAAACTATAGCAGATGGTGCTGGTTTATGGCTTTTAATAATCAAAATTTGTTTTTTAGCTTAGAAACCACCATCGCCCCTAAAGAATGGTGGGGTGTAAAGAACACTGGGAAAAGTTCCAGCACTGTTTGGAAAGAGCGTGAGCAAACAAAAGACTGCAAGAGCGTACCCCCAGATGTAGCGGCTCGTTCCAAGTGGTGTGATCTCATCCTCAGCCGGGAGCTCCTCCCCGCCGCGGAAAAACGTAGCCACGAAACCCCACGTCAAGCTTAGCACGCTCCCAGTGACGCCCCCAACCCCGAGAGCTAGAGATGTGAAGAAAGAGAGAATGTTTGCCACTCTCCTGCCGTAGAGAGCTTGGGCGATTCGGCCACCTTCGAGTCTCCCGCAGGGCAGGAGATTCATGGAAGTCACCACGATTCCTGTAAGTGTTTTCTCTCTCTCAGTTTTGGAGAATAAACGAGAGATTTCATATTCTTACCAAGGAGGCCAGCAAACGCTAATGGATCGACCGGAACACCAAGACCTGGCACTGCTTGAGGAAGAACGTTTCCAAGTTCGTCAGTGTAAGGCCCAGTCACGTACTGGATGAAGGAGAGGAGAGGATTATTGAAGAAGAACTGCGGCCTTATATACCTGTACACCAGATCCAATCAACCGAGGAAGATAGAAAGAAAAGAGCAGAGGAAAGAAAACTTACAGAGCGTTATCACCACCGTTGAGGCTTTGGTCGAGGTAAAACGCAATTGCAGCAAGAAGAAAAGACGTAACGTAGGCACTGGTTATTCTAGCAGCAGCAATGTCGAAGAGTGCTTTCTTGCTGGGAAGTATGGACTCGTAGTTGTTTACAACGCCGAGGCATCCAGTCCATGTCGAAGGGATTAAAAATGATGGGCTGAGACGAACGCCATACTTGTTCGCAGTAAGCCGTGTAGCAGCCTGTGAAAAAAAAAGAAGAAAAAAAGTTTTATAGGAACGCAAGTTCATAGCCCAAATAAATCGTACCTCTGAGACACCGAGAATGGTGATAAATCCACCAAAAAGAGGTAGAACTCGAGCGATATAATCGTCAAAGGTGGCGTTTGGTGTCAAGAAAAAACCACTCGTCAGCGAGATTGTTCCCAGAGTTGTGACTCCGAGGAGCAAAGCGCTGATGTACCCCGCAACATTGTTCAGTGAAGAAAGCTCATATTGAAGGTCGATTTCCTCCTTGGGCTGAACGACACAAACCTGGATCACAAACACGAGTTTGGCACGAACAAGTAAGAACACCACGAATACAAAGGAAAATCTCACTTGTTTTTTTATGTCGTTGCCTTCCCGATCCTCCTCTTCCATAAACCAGATCGTCACTTCCCTTCCAGCGGCATTGGCCAGCCTTTCTTTCAATACTGGGATCACTTCATCGATGGGCTTTCTCAAGTTTCCAATGTAAATTCCACCGTCTCCAAAGCGGCGAACATCGGTCGCATAGAATGTATCGTATCCAAAGCAGCTTTTCAACTGCAAAGTCACATTTAAGAGCAAAAGAGAAAAAAAAAAAGGAACGCATACCTTGCCAAGATCCAGTGCCTTGAATTTCTGCTCGACTTGCTCCAGCCTATCCTTTTCTCTTTGGACGATACTTCGTGATATGTTTTGTATCAAGCCCGTGAAAACGTTGCCACCCTGCTCGTTGTTTAGCTCCTTGAGTCTTTGCTCGGCTCTCTTCTTCTCCAGCTTCAACGCTGCCTCGATGGAAGGATTTCCCATGAACTTCTTGAAATCCTCGTCTTGTTTCCAATCCATCTCTTGCTTGATCTCCTGTGGCTGCTCCTCCTGCTTTTCTTGCGAATCCGAAGCTTTCTCTTCCTCCTTGTCAGCAGTCTTGGTGCCACTGGGAGTGGAATTTGACTTATCGTCCGACCCGGAGGCCTTGAGAAGCCACTGTGATCGGCGTGGTCGACTGCGACACTGCATTCATCCTTCCAATGCGTTAGAATCGATTGATTGGATCTATCTCTCTTTGCGCGCCTAAAATTTCGTGATCTTACCTTGAGGAATCTCCTCTGCCGCGACGCTGGAAACGCAATCCGAGAGCTCAAATCACTCCGAGCTTCGGGGATGGAGGCCTCGAACCGATGGCACCACGCATTGTCCACGGCCAGGCAGGCCATCGCCGCAAGAAAACCTAGACAAGAGAGATCGATTACAATGCGGCAGCGCGATCGATTGGAAATGCGAGTGAGCTACGAACCTGGAAGAGAAGAATCGAGCTGCAAGAAAGAGAAAGAGAGGAGAGAGGAGGGTAGCGCTCAGCGCCAAAGTGGATGGAAGCCATCTGGATTTCTCCAGAAGAACTGGTGCTGACACGAATCGAACCAAGAGCCCTCGCCACGTAGTAGATCATTGGCACGTAGTAAAAGTTTAAATAACCACAAAGCAACGCAAGTTCATATTTTACTTTATTTACATCCAATCCAGCCTCTCTTCATTGTCTTCTATCATACTTCCTTTGAAGCTATATACACGCTTGGAAGAGAGGATCTCTCTAGTCTCTGGTAGTAGTAGCAGCTCTGGAGCCATAGTAGCGTTGGTTACCAAAAAGGAAAACTTACATGGTCAATTCCCTGGCGATGAGATGTTGAGCGTCTCCAGCGAGAGGAATGCTTCGTCGCTACCATCGCCAACACCTCCTCCTCCCAAGAACTCGCCGGGTCTCGCGAAGAAGCCTTCCACCGCTTGGTTTCCAAGCCGTCCAGAAGATCGACCACTCCGGACGTTGTCACCAATCGGGAATGCCTCCTGTGCGATAGATTTAGAAGAGTTTGAGAGTTTCGAGCTAATTTCCTTTTGCGTGTGATATGAATGGATCAATCACTCAAGGAAATGATACCTGGTCACCTGCGTTTGGTCCGTCCGAGTGGAAGATTATCGGCCGGCATCGCTTGTCTTCGTTCATGAGGCTCGAGTTCTGGAAGTGCGCGATCAGCGCGGCCTTGCCTTGGATCCGCGCGTACGCGAGCGATGCCACCTTCTCGCTGTTAAACTTCTCCCATTTCTTGCCATTGAACGTCTGCGAAAACAAAGAATGACAAGTTTTTAGAACCAAGTCGTGGGAAAATCTCCTCTCTATTTTTCACAGAGAACCTGGTAGAAGGACACGATCAAGGAAGGCGACAGCATATTGATGAATGCGTATCCGACGTTACACTTATTCTGTTGAAGCCTCTGGTTAGATGTGGTTCGCACAACCCCTTTTGAAAACTCGCTTACCTTAAAATCAATAGGCAAGTATATGAAATCATACGTTCCACGGTGCTGCTCGTCAATCGCGGCCAGTAACATCTTCGAAGTGTATCTAGAGAAAAAGAACAAAACTTAGCTCCCAGTGCAGATATAGAAAAACAGAAAGAAAAGAGGAACAGTCGCATACTTGTTTGGTATGTTCTTAATCATCAGCGTCGTTCGAGTGTCCTCCCCAGCAACAATACGATCCAAATCCAGCTGAAACTGCTTCCGGTTGTCCACTTGAGCGGGAGTGCTGTCCATTCTTCTGTTGCGTCGGTCGTCTAATGGAGAGCCGCAGTTTCCAAACAGCCGTTGAGGCAGGAACATACCAAAGTTTGGAGACGAAGGGCCGTGGTGCTCTAGGCTCCCAACGTTTGGACTTTTGACGGTGCCCGACTGGAGATAAGACGAGACCTCTGGCGATTCTCGGAGATAACTGTGGTGCCGGTCCCCTAAAGAATGATCGCGAGAATATGAACCAAGCTGGTGACTGTGTGGAGAGAAGGCTGAATTGTACAAATTAGTATGCGCATCCGCGGAGCGTTGACTGTATGGATGGCCGGGCGATAGGCTCTGCCACATTAAAGGTGACGAGCTTTTAGCAGTAGTACCTTGACTGTAAGCCCCTCCACTGCCAGAACCCCAGATCATAGGCTGGCTGGTCAGAGAGATGCTTAGGCTGGAAGATCTTTGAAGAGAGGATGCTACACCAGTAGCATGTACTGCACAAAAGGAAAAGAGAAGATTTAGTAGTTGGCTATAGTTTGACGATCAAGTACCTGCATAGGTTGTGGAGCTGTCATTTAAGGTACTCGTAGTCCTAGAAAGCGTCCTCGTCTCAAAGCCTTCAATCGGCCTCAAAGGCGCAGCCACTGTTGAAAAGCCCGCTGTGGAGCTGCTGAAGAGTTCATTTCTATACAGACCGCTGCTAAACTCTGGCAAGGAGTGGGGGTGATGCTGTCCAAGTCCTTGCTGTTCCAGCAGATGGTTCCTCATTGTGTTCTGCACAACGTGACTGTTGTCAACCATTCCTATTCTTACAGGAGAAGATACGTCCTGTGACGTGACTTTTGGGGAGAAAGGCCTGTAGCTCAGGGGCTTAGGTGAGATAAATGTTGTGTCAGAGTCATGCGTGTCGTTTATGGTCCCCCAATCAGCTGTAAATTTTAAGCACTGTCAATGGTCAAACTATCGTGACGGAACATCTTCACCTGGAGGAGAGTTCGTCCAAGCCAATGGTGAATGGTATCCGTCTTCATGATCAAATTCTTGACCAAGCCGAGGAATCAAACTGCCAATACAAGAGCTACATGTAGAACTGGTTAACCATTTATAAACCACAAACGCAAACCTTCTTCGGACACCACCGGGACGGCTAGGTTCCAGTTTGATGCGTTTCCCTGCAATATCACTTCTATTCAATGCCCGCAGTGCAGCCTCGGCGGATCGTACATCGTAGAATTCAATAAATTTGTGGTGCTTCTTGTGAGGTGTTTCACGTATCTGGAGACAGAAAAACAGTTATATGAGACTTCCACCCGTGAAACAGAATGTGCTACTAGATCTACCTCCTTAACTTCGCCATACTGGCCAAATATTTTACGAAGATCTTCACCAGAGACTGATGCATCAAGATTGAAGACGACAAGAGTGCCTTGGTTGATATCCTTGTCGGAGGGATTGTCCTGGTAAACGAGCGACCTCTGTGAGTGAGAAGCGCAAATCGGACTTATGCATATGAAATCCAAGCAAACCTTTGGAATGCTAAAATGAATATCCAGCTTGCGTCGCCGAAGTAGCCTGCCTTGAAGTACACGCATAGCAGTTCTAGCAGATCGTATATCATAGTAAGAAATCATTACAAATCCACGATGTTTGCAAGCGGTGTATAACGTACGAATGTCCCCGTAAATCTGTGAAACGTATAGAACGTTGTCAATGGCGCCATGCAAAGGTGGACCACAAGTACCTCAAAAAGTTCTCGGAGCTCGCTATCTTCAACGTTGCTGTTGATATTTCGCACAAAAAGAGTTCGAGAGGGGTGTTCTCCATAGGGGTGCTCTCCAGCTATCGTACCATGAGCTGATCCAGAGTGAAGGCTTTCATGCGAGTCCCCTTCCATCTCAAGTCCTCCCCCGCTACTGAATAAATCGTAATCTTCAAAGTCCTCAGCACTATACGGTACAACGTCAAGTTCGTCAGCGATTCCAGCCAGCAGCTCCTCCTCGTCATCGGGAAGAAGCCTGCCAATAGTTTGCGATTCCATCTCCTCGAGAGACCCAAAAATTTCGTCCTCAGCGCCAAGTGAATGATCAACATCACTTTCTGACATCGTCACTGTAGCAAAGATAAGTTCGGTCAGAAGTTTGAAAGCGCAACCAATGGAGAGAAGTACTAACATTTGGCTTTTACCAAGGACGGGAGGGAGCTCGAAAACAGGCTCGAATCGTTGCTCACGTCGAGGCACTCCCCGGCCACTCCTTTGAGCTGCGAGGAAGCCATCGCTGGACTAAAACCATTCCTACTCCAAGGCGTCGTCGTTGATGCCGGTGGAACCCATTCATCCGTGTGGGACTTTTGGAATGAGCGAGGTTCCCATTCTTGGTGGTTCACGTAAGACCAATCAATCTGTTTAGATACAATCATATGACCAAAACGAAAGTTAGAACAAACACGCAACGGAATATAGAGGGAAAGTCCCAACCTCGTGTGGCAAATAGCTCGTCTCGTTGAAGAAGAGGGTCGATCCAGGGCTTCCATTTCCATGTAGAGAGAGTGATCCTAGACGGCCTTGAACCACTTGAACTCCAGCGGACTCCGTCATGTTCTAGCCCCTTGCCCGCGTTAGGACATCCCAGAAAATGTCCTCCTATCCCCGGAATGGCTTCGCCACGAACAAGTTGTCGTGCGCCATGGCCGCCCAGCCAAGCTCCCCCAATTTCACAGCAGCTGGGCAATGCGGTGCCAGGAAATGTAGCTCATCACGGCTCTCGCCTCCAATTCCTAGGATCAGGACGAAATCCCTCGAAATTTCCAGAATCCCGGACAAATTTGTGGCTTCTTGCGGCAAATCAGAGCTGCGAAAAATCTGATCCGGCAGCGCGCAACAGATAATCTCGCGGAGCTGGATAACCTGATCCTCAGCGCCTCCAGGAATGCATCACCTAGCTAGCGCCTTACCTGAGGGAGAGCGCTAGCTCTTGTCATTCGCTCATCATCGCCATCGCCATAGCTCTCTCTCTCTTTCTCTCCCTGTTCTTCCCTCCTCCCGCTTCTATCAATCATAGTAGAAGAAGAAAACCCTCGTAACCTTCACGTGAAGGTAGGTAAATTCTCTGCACCGTCGATTTGTCGTATCCAATGCGCCCTCTTTTAACACGTCATTTAACACGCGGTAAGCCGCGGAAAAACCAAAACCGCCACGTGGCAGAAGATCATACGTGTGCATCGGACGGCTCAAATCTCGCCAACTGCGGACATACGATTCGCTCCTTGTTCGCCGTAGATCAAACCGTCAACATTTCTGACGTGTCAGGGCACAGCCCTAATAATATCATTTTCGCCCATTTGACGACAAAAAGGGCAAGCTCAATTTGTCATTCCAGCCCTTTTATTTTTACTCCAAAATGAGGATGCGTGTGAATGTGGGTCAGTAAAATGGGGCCCAAACGGCTGCCCAAGTCACGCGATCGAATCCCTTCCCCGGCACACCGAATCTCGAGGCAATGGGCGCTGGATTATTCCTTAAGATTCGCCCCCCATTTGCGATTTAAGCTAAAGCAACCCCGAATGACGCCTTAAGGCACGCATATAAGAAGTTTGATCTTGCTGAAAAGATATTCATCTAATGAAATGAGATTTTTACTTTGGTAAGATCGAGTTTTACTTATATGGCTTTTGGGACTTAGATTCTCGTAGAGAGCGACAAGAGCAACGCAACAAACACACTCGGGATTCTGACCACTCAAAAAAACTAAATGAAATGTTTGCGAAGCTTCCAAATTGAATACCAGTAATATTCCGTGATTGATGCCACCCATCCACCTGTGCATCCAGTCCGTCCATTTCACTTAAAAAGATCCCAGTCGCCCGGCACGAAACTATACTTTTTCTCGTCCTTAACGTGCTGCCAAGACCAAGAATGGAGTTTTTCGTGTATTTTTTGATCTTGGTGGGGACTAGCGCGGCACGAAATGGATGAAAGGGACGATCATTAAGCTGCGATTCAAAGAGCGGGCTAGTGGATCCAATCACCGCTTTAATCGATCACTGTTGGGCGAAAAATCTCAGGACCAAGATCACTTCGTGGACGTAAGAAACTTGTCTCGGCGCGATCGATCGATCATGTTGATCTCATGGTGGTGGAAAACCTGTTTTTTAGACTATGAAACGAAAGCAATTGGCCAACTTCCACCTTGTGAATCACGGGATTTCTATTCGGAGGAACGAGTCAGTCCCCAGATTTTTTTCTGGATTCTCCTCCCTCGAGGCACGTTTGGATTGTTTAAAAGGACCGTCCAAAGCTGCAAGGCAGGCATTAGAATTTTTCTGTGACGAGAGAATCCAAATCATCAAAAACAATACCCTTTGGAGCGAAAAGCTATGGTTTTCCACATATCCTTTCAGGGGCCTGGAAGACACCCAGAGCTTATTTTAATCGCAAGCGCCAGTGGTGGTTTCCTAATCGAATCAAGTTTAAAGAAGAATCCATACCTTTTGAATGTAGCGCCGTGGAATTCGCAGCCGGATGATCCTCCTCGAAATTCGACGCTAATTGTCGAGATTATGTCAGCGCAGAGGCGAGATCTCGGCAAAAGACCGCCTTGGAGAAGGAAAAATTCAGCGCAGTGGAGAAATTTGGCTAGAAAACTACCGATCACCAAACGAGCAAGAGTTTCCACGCATCTGAAATTCCATGCGACCCAGGAGCAAACCTGAGCCACACGATGAGAGCCTGACACGTGGACGGCGGATGGGGATTTTAGTTAGGGCTTTTATAAAGGGAGCTTTAATTTTTTTAGAACGCACCACATTTTTTCTTCGTGGGGAGAGCTCCGCGGCCATGGCAGTGCGCCCCGGCGATGTTGGAATCTTGGCGCTGGAGGTCTACTTCCCACCCAGCTGCGTGCGCCAGGTATGGATCAGATCTATCGCTAGCTGCCGTCGCAATGCCGAGATTGGAATGAGCTGGATCGATGGAATTCTTGGCAGGACGAACTGGAGAAGCACGACGGGGTGAGCGCCGGGAAATACACCGCGGGGCTCGGCCAGGAGCGCTTGGCCTTCTGCACGGATGTGGAGGATGTAATATCGATGAGGTGAGCTGAGCTGAGCATCGGAGGCCGCGGATCGATCTATATTCTCTTGATCTCGCCACTGAGAAAATAATTTCCCCCTTCTTTTGTCCCCCAGCTTGACAGTGGTGAAGAATCTCCTCGAGAAGTACAGTATCGCGCCCGAGAAAGTTGGCCGCCTTGAGGTGGGAAGCGAGACCGTCATCGACAAGAGCAAGTCGATCAAAACGTGGTTGATGCGACTTTTTGAGGTACGACGAGCTCGATCGTTGCTCGAGCGAGAAAGAACACAAGACTATCTTTTCCTTTTCATGTTCTTTTTCTTATTACAGGAGTCTGGAAACTCTGACATTCAAGGCGTGGATTCCAGCAATGCGTGCTATGGAGGCACTGCCGCTCTAATCAATTGTCTCAACTGGGTGGAGAGCAGTGGCTGGGATGGGCGGTATGGTCTGGTGGTCGCAGCGGACAGTGCAGTGAGTATCTCGTTTCTGCCACGAGAATCTATGTTTTGATTTGATTGTGTTCTTTCATACTTTACAGGTTTACGCTGAGGGCCCTGCAAGACCCAGCGGTGGAGCTGGTGCTGTTGCCATGCTGATCGGCCCGAATGCTCCTTTCGTGATTGACCGCAAATACATGGGAACACATATGTCTCACACATACGACTTCTACAAGCCAAATCTAAGCAGTGAATATCCGGTAGTTTGAGTTATAGATTTATTTTAAAGCTTCGTTTGTTAACTTGTCTTCATGCGTGACCAGGTCCTCGACGGCAGGCTCTCGCAGAAGTGCTACCTGATGGCTTTGGACTTGTGCTACAATCGTTACTGCCAAAAGTATGTACTTGAGCTTTACTAATCAGGTAGTTGATCCAGGTCCCTGTTTCCAGGTATGAAAAGGCCGACGGAAAGCCATTCTCTCTTCAAGATGTCAACTATGCCGTCTTTCACTCTCCTTACAATAAGGTCAGTAGTAGTAGTCTCGAACTTCCCGCAGGGATTGTTTTGACGTGTTGTTTCCTTGTTTGTGTACGCAGCTTGTGCAGAAAAGCTTTGCACGGCTTGTGTACAACGATATCCAACGAAAGACAAGGTCAGCTGCTTTCCCGTCGTGGAAGAGTGGAAAAGTCTAACGGAAGTTTTCCTTGTAGGCCCGAGGACGAGAAGCTAAAGCCATTCGCTAATATTTCCGAGGATGAAAGCTACACGAACAAAGATCTAGAGAAGGCAAGAGATTCCCCCCTTCATGGCCCAAACTTATTTTGTTTCTTTTCTGCCAGGCAACGCAAGATATAGCAAAGCCAGATTACAACCTCAAGGTTGTCCCATCGACTTTGATTCCTAAACAAGTTGGCAACATGTATTGTGCCGCCTTGTACGCAGCGCTTGCGTCACTCATCCACAGCAAAGCCGAGGAACTGGTACGCAAGCAATCGTTTTGCTCTTTGTCTCGTCACCTCTACAGGCTTCCGTGTTTGACACAACAGTTGGGCAACACCATTTTGATGTTTTCTTACGGCAGCGGCCTTGCGTCAAGTCTGTTCACGATCCACGTTCGCCAGGGCGATGGCTTGTTCAGAGTCGCTAACATCGCCAAGCGCATGGAAGTATCAAGCAGCTTGGAATCCCGTGTCCAGGTAGCTTACCATTTCTCCGAGCTTATACTTACATGTGTATATATTCACAGGTCTCCCCAGAGGACTTTGTCCACACGATGGAGCTTATGGAGACGCGCTACGGTGCCAAAGGCTTCACTCCCGTGAGTGACTTGGCTAGACTCCGGCCGGGAACTTTCTACCTCACTCAGGTAGACGATTTGTATCGACGCTTTTACGACAGACTCCCGCAAGCTACATCCAATGGAGCGTGTTAGAACCACACAACATCGTTTTTTCACGAGACGTTGAGAAATTTTCTTCTTTTTTTGCGGGGTTGGGGAAGAAGAGGAGGTTTCGTGATGAATAAGAGATCACTTACTTGTGGTAGTGGGATAGAAGAAATTAGACGATGATGACGCGAACTTGAGAGTATGAAAGAAAAAATCCCGTGATCCTTGTTGATTTTGGAAAGAAATGTAACAACAATTCAGCTCACTAAGGACGTACCAAAATTTTCCTGCAAAGTTGGAGAGTGCGTGAGATTAAAATCGATGGCCAAGATCGTTTTCTACCTGACTTGCAGAGAACTTCTCGCTCTTTACACTCCCATAAAAAACGAAGCCTTTGGGCTTCATATGAGCAGGACAAGAAAAATCATCGTCCATAGTGTCAAAAACACAACCGACGATGTGTAGCACCAGAAAAGAATGATCGAGCATTCGGTTTGTCCGACACCAAATAGCTGCGTCATCGTGCCTGTAGCGGAACAAAGAAACAAAGAAGAAAAAGAGAAAGTTATAACGGAAGCCGCTCTAGAGACTAGATTTCATTGCTTACCACAGGTTTTAGTGATGGTATTTGTAAATAGATGAGGTTTTGAAACTGACCAACGTTGATAGCCGTAGGCATGGTAAATTGCAGCAAAAGTACGAAGTGAAAGAGCGGGTCCGCAGGTACTAGACCCATGGAAAACGCGAGCTTGACAACGATGAGCCCGGTTATGGGAAGAAGCAGCAGTCGTGTCAACATGATCGAGATGACAACTTCAAGTGCCAGTTCCGATGCGCCAAATCCTGCTCCAACGAAAACAACTTAGCTTACGAGCTTATAAGCTATTCAGGTATGTCTACCTTGAGATAAGTTTCCTCCAAGTAACAGATTCATGCAAGGAATCATAGCTTCCCTGCAACGTAGAATTCATGAATATGAGAGTGCGACGGCGACAAAATAAAGCTTACCCAAGGATGACCAAAGCATCGCCTAAAAACCGAAATGGAGCTTGGTGTCCATACAGCAAATGTCTAAAAAACGGCACAGCGCCAATGGGGATTGCTATCGCCTATACAATATACGAGGCATGTTAGAGGGAGGAAAACATTACAGTTTAACTCACAGCTGCCGCTGTTGGAGGGGTGAAGGCTTCTTTCACGCGGTATTTTTCCATCCATAGTTGCAAGTTGGCCACAGAAAAATCATCGGTACGAGGCTGCGGACCTGCTGGCTCAGGAGGTGTTGGAGGTGGTGGCTGTGCTGCTCTCGGCTGGATGGCTCACCAAAGTTTTATCGAAATCAACACTAAAACTAAAGCGAAATAAGCAGAGTACCTGGGACGTCGTTGAAGCTCCATAAACTTGGAGAGCTTGAGAAGGCGGAGATGAAAGTGCTTGAAGTGGATTTTGAAAGCCTGGAGCCTGGAGGTTTTGGAACCCGTCAGGAGACATCGGGAGTTGAGGAACCTGCGGGCTTTGGAACTGCTGGAAGTCCCCCAGGCCTATAGATGGATTCCGGCCACGAGTTGGAAATGCCTGAGGACTAGGCAAAAAGCCTTGAGGCTGGGAGCCTATAAACCCGTCATTGTAGTCCTCGAAGCCTTGCGAGTACCTCGGTCCAGCCTGAAAGCCTCTGGGACCCTGAGTCATTGCTGAAAATGCCTGCTGTTGATATCCTTGACCCGGGACTTGAAACATCTGAGGCGCTTGAAATCCTTGGTAGCCTTGCTGAAAGCTGTCCATGCCTTGGAGATTCTGAGCACCAAAACCAGAGTTCCTGTACCCCTGTGGACCTGGAAATCCTTGCGGACTTTGAGTATTCGTAAACCCCCGAGGAACACCCTGCAAGCCTGCAACTTGAGGCATAATGCCTTGGCTTCCTGGATAGACATTTAGCTCTCGAGCAGGAGGAGTTTCCTCCCGAGGTGGAGCTTCCTCCGTTGCGTCGTGCAAATCAACCTCTTCATAGCCTGGCTGTGGTTGTGGCTTCAGGTAATTAAACACGACTGTCCAAGTCAAAACTGTGGCCATCTGTGATACGTGAAAACCCGGTAAGAAGCGACTCGACGGATCTTATATGCTTTCTTCGCCTCACCCATAGACCATAGGATATATAAGCTATCCCATTTGCCGTGCAAACATCATATCTGCCGAAGGGACTACCTGCTTCAACGCAAATCGCCGAAACAAGTACTAGAGGCAAGTTACTCGAATTCCCTGAAGAACAGAAGTGAAGTTGCCTAAATGAAGAACGAAGAAAGAACAAACTTACGTACCTGTAGCACAGCATGCAATTATCAATTTTCTCAGGTGAGGAGGAGGCTTGAAGTGATCGAAGATACAAACTCCAATTCCAGCGCCAATCATGTAGCATAGCAACACATTTATCGGCATAAACCACCTGAAAGATTATGGTTGCAGTAGAGAAAACAAGATCAAAGAGAAAACGTTACCAGTCCAGCATCTTCTCGACAGTCACTGTTTGAGCTAAATTCGAGAAAATCAGCGATGGCATGAAACACACGAAAACTAGCTGCAAAAGTTCCAGCAAATTCTTAATCAAGGAAACGAAGAAGAAACTATCGATTACCTTGTTTATATGTTTTCGAGCTTCGGCAGGCATCACATTGGATTGTGGAGATGACAAATAAGCCCCAATGCCGCAATGAACGAGCAGTCTAAACACCGGCATTGCCGACATGAAAAGAACCGACCACACCCCCATTTTCTCCTTCCTCTCGATTCAATCGTCCTTTCTTTTCCTCTTCTTTGCCATAATATAGCTCTCTCTCCCCGGATCGAGAAACCCTAGCGAGCGTACCTCGGACTAAACGGAGCCGTGAGCGCTAACCAGCGACCCCAAAGCGTCGCGCTGTAGAACCCTAGGATCCCTCAAAAGACGCACACTTGGCGCCAAAAACGAACGCTCCAGATCGCTACACGTGGCCACTTAAGTCAAGAATATTCGGAAATAAACTAGGGTTCTTCGGAATGAGCATGCGCAGAGTGGCATTTGTTCTCGTCGATGGCATTGGCGATGTCTCGATTCCAGAGCTCGGATGGAAGACGCCGCTGGAGGCCGCGAGCACGCCGAATCTGGATGCCATCGCGACCGCTGGAATCAGCGGCTTGATGGATCCCGTGGAGCCAGGGCTTGCATGCGGCAGCGATACCGCTCACCTTTCTCTGCTAGGGTATGATCCCAGGCAGTATTATCGCGGCCGCGGCGCCTTCGAATCGCTGGGCGCCGGTCTTGCCATGTCTCCTGGCGATATTGCGTTCAAGGTAATCGATTTTCTCACTAGGTTGATTATAGACGACTTTGCTGGAAGAGTCTCGCAGTTCTCTTTTGGAATTACAAGCTGCATTGTGCTTTTCTTTGCGCAGAGCAACTTCGCGACCATGGACGATGGAACTGGAGTTGTGACTTGCAGAAGAGCCGATCGCCATTTCGAAGAAGACGGACCTATTTTCTGTGCTGCTTTGGATGGCTTGAAGCTTCCTTCCTTTCCAGCTTACGAAGTTCGTGTCAGGTGTGTTGCGCTCTTTTGTTTCCTTTTTTCTCTTCATCGAGCGTGCATGAACTTTTATCTGCAGGTATGCCACGGAACATAGGTGTGGAGTGGTCGTGAAAGGACCAGGACTGAGCGGAAACATTTCTGGTACTGATCCACTCAAAGACAACAGACTTTTAGAGGTTGTCGTCCCGCTGGATGAATCCGACGAAGCGAAACACACCGCCGCCGTGGTGAACGAGCTCTCGCTCGAACTGAGACGTATCTTATCGGATCATCCACTCAACGCGAAGCGACAGTCTGCTGGTAAGGCCATTGCGAATGTCGTGCTATTAAGAGGATGTGGAATACGCATTCAGGCAAGTGACTTTAGTTTCCTTCATGCATATTTCTGGTTACTAACATTTCGGCTGCTAGGTCCCAAGCTTTAATGAGAAACATGGGCTTCGATCCTGTATGGTAGCTCCAACAAAAATCATCGCTGGACTTGGTCTCTCACTCGACATTGCCATTTTGGATGCACCAGGAGCTACTGGCGATTACAGAACACTTCTGACGTCGAAAGCAAACGCTATTGCAAAAGCATTGGCTGCTCCTCTGGAGCGTCCGCCCAATGTATTCGTTCCTGGTGAAGATGATGCTAAGCCTGGCTGGAGCGAAGGCTATGACTTCGGCTTTTTGCATATAAAGGTTTAAGTTTGGTACTTGGCATCAATAGTGTATCAACTTGCTGGTTGTCTTGCAGGCGATTGATGACGCTGGCCACGACAAGGCTGTCAAGCTGAAAAAGCTGGCATTTGAGGCGGTTGACAAAATGATTGGGCAATTAGCACGGATGCTATGGGAAGCTGAATGTAGAGGCGCAGGACAATTCTCGTTATGTGTCACAGGTGATCATTCTACACCAGTTGAGTATGGAGACCACAGCTTTGAGCCGGTTCCGTTTACCATCTGTCATCTCAAGGACTTTGTCAAGACCAAGGGTGAAGATACCGTGCTATCTTCGCCGTTGGAAGCCTTCCGACTGCCGGGTACTACTGAAGATTCATCATGGACATATGAGACGCACGGTCCAAAGCCTTGTGATGTCCATGGTGACGGAGTGACGAGCTTTTCCGAGCTTTCGGCTGCTCGAGGTGTTCTTGGTCGTTTCCCGGGCAGCGAGATGATGGGCATCATCAAAAAGTACATGCAGCTAGACACATGCTGAATTGAAAAACGCAAGTAAAAGAGCTATATTCTAAGTATCCTGGACTGACTTTCTGTTTCCAGGCATCTTTTCTAATAAGTTGAAGGCTTCTGCTGTTGATAGTTGAAGGCACTGCTGGAGGCGAGACATTTTGCCAGTACGAAAATTCATTACTTTGATACTTGTTTGACATTTTGCTACTCTGACAGTAAGTTTGTGTTACGAACATTCGGGGAATGGGATCGGGTATCGTTGTCTATCATTACAATAAGTGTAAGTGAGGTGATTCTCCCGGACCCATGCTAAATCATTCTTTTGCTGTTCAGTGAGGTCCCGAATGCTTGAAATTTCGTTTTGCTGGTCAGAGCAGATTGAGCCTTCCTCGCATCCTTGCAACTTCAAGTCCGTGAAGGATGCGACGAAGGGGCCATATGCATAGTTTACTGGAGAATGTCCACCGTCAGTTGCCCAGTTAGAACCGTCCCAAATCGACGAGTAAGCTTTCATTGGCTTTGATGGATATTGATGTCCTAACTCGCCACTCCTTGCCATCCGTCTTATAGGAATATCGTCTATGAAGAATCTGCCACAGAAAGAATGAAAGAGGGAAATAGGCACGTCAGGTGCTCGACTTTGGCTTACACGAGCTGATAACTGTTCCAGAGGATGCTGTATCGATGGAAATCAGCTGTTGCGTCGAACCAGAGGTTTATCCGCTCCTCGCGGCCTTTGGCACTACCATCTCCGTAGATGTTAGTCTGCAGCAAGTAAGGTGTTCCAGCGGCAACTCCAAGGAACTCGAAGTCCACTTCATCGTGGTTGTGTGGGAAGGTATCGTAGTTTGATATCTACAGGACAGGACAGGACAGGACAGGACAGTGCAACATCAGGAAAAGATTGGCTAGGTAGCTCATCAAGTCGTACATAGAAAGCCGTCACCACTCCAGCTGAGTAGCTCGCAGGGAGCTTGATCAAAGCACTAAAGAAGCCGTAAAAGTATGTGTGGATGGACTCGATTCCAGAGCCTACAGGAAAGTTCAGAAGTTGATCGAGGTTTTCTTCGAAGTACCTGATGCTTGGTCAAGTTTCAGCTGGATGACACTTCCTTGGGAATTCGGCTGCCCCCAGGATGCAGCGCAAGTCTGCTCGAATGTGGTGGACGGGAAGCTGCCTGCGAGACTCGATGCACTTTGCCCGTGTACCAGACCGATGCAGACGGCAATAGTTATCAGGACCATCCCCCGGATTGACATTCTTCTCACTCAAGCGAGGTCACAGCGCTCTCAAGTCACCATATTTATATATGTTCCGCTCTACGTAGCCATGGAGACTATGGACAAGGTGAAGCAGGACAAAGCACGCGGCATTCTGGGAGCTGTCACCTCATAGAGATCCGATGATTGAACTATGCGACTTGTAGTTCTACATCATGGGATGTTGGTGACGAGTAAAGCTGGCTCGACAACTGGCGGACACGGGAGCATGCATGAAATATGTGAGCGCGCTTCAAAGTTACATGTACTGCTGTGGACTTACACTCTTTTGCTCCGATTTACAGGTCCTGAATGACTGCAGGAGCGTGGAGTGTGTGTCACGAGCTAAACTCGGCAGCGACTCTTTGCGTTGCTGTCTCTGAGCACAAGTTCGTCCGCCAAGAGAGGTTTGTCTCGTTATGATACTAAGAGTTTGAGCTAATATTTTCGACTATTCGGCAGCTTGCTCTTGTTCTTGGTCCCCTGCAAGGAAACGATGAGTACAAACGGCAGCATATTGGTGGGGTGGCATTACCTGCTGGCTCGGATCTGCTGGGTCTCTTGGGCGGTTCCACGGCTTTTGGCTCTGGTTCTGGCTCGGGCTCAGGTGGCGGTCCTGGAGGTGCTTTCCCGTGCACGTCCTCGTCGATAATTATCAGCTTGGGCTCTCGAAACTCGGGAGCCAGTGGACGCGGCATCATAGATGGCGAGATATCGGTGTTGACGCTCGTCTCAACCCTCACGAAGTGCGTCACCTGTAGCAGCGTCACAATCTCAGGCTTGAGCTTCTCCATCTTGCGGCCCGTGGGACAGATCTTCATGATGGAGACGGGCTCGATCTTGGACTTTTCGTCCAGGACGACTTTGCTCTCCACCTCGGCGCCAGTCGGGGAGTAGACGTGGATGGTGTGGAAGAACGTGAAGCGGTACTTGTGGCGCAAGTCGGGCAGGAGCGAGGCCTTGGTCTTGACGGAGCAGACGGCACAGATCCGGGGCTTGCAGTCGCGGAACACTCCCTCGGGGTCGGTTCCAATCTCGTTGGAGAACTGGTACGAGTTCTTCACCCGGATGCAGTAGTCCACCTTGCTGCTAAGCTCGGTGAAGCGGGCGATCTCCTCGTCCTCCCGGTCGCCCGCGGCAACGGCGACGGTGCAAGAGTTGCAGTCCCCGGACGTCTCCAGCAGATCGCCATAGTTGAAGATGGTGAAGCGGTGGCGCTTGGCGAAGAAGACGGCGGGGATGGACGACGACTTGAGCGATACTTGCTGCGTCTTGGACGACATCTCCTCGGGCGCTGGGAGAGGCCACGACTGGCTCCGGATCTCGTCGCGACCCGCCAGCTTCCGGGGGACCTCGGGGCACTGCGTGAAGTGGACGAAGTCGGCATAGGGGGCGATGACGGGATCGTCAGGGCCGAGGGAATCGTCAGGTCGGATGGGAGCAGGGAGCAAACCGGGGCGGACCTCGACTTGGAAGGAGGTGGAAGTGTGCGGCTGGGGAGGGGAGTGGCTAGCGGCGCCGCCGACGCAGCACTCGGACTCGTCGTCGGTGACGAAGCCCGAGTCGAGGATCACGGGGCAGGGGCGAGGCAAGCGCGCGTCTTTCTTCCGGCTGAGAAAGCTGCTGGTGGGCATTTCTTTGTTCCCTTTTTTTACTCTGATGATCGGTTGTCGTCTGTCCAGAGAAAGAATTTGTTTGGACACTTACAATGAGAGACTAGTCCATTTCTTCCCGAGCGAACCAAAAGGGTATATGACGTTTGGTTGACTGGTATATTCTTTTACAAATTAATATTATATTTATGTTTATTTATGACTAAGTAAATCCGTATAACTTAGACACGGTAGACCAAGTTGTCACAATGCAAACAATGAGGGATATTCTTCAATCGATTGGGCCACCAACAAATGTTTTGGTAGGAAAGAAGAGAGAGCACAGTTGTTTACTCCTGATAGCCAAGCAATTAATGCACCTGCTATATGTACTGGCAGAAAGTATTTCAGGGATTCAAAGACATTGTGGGTGGGATCCCATCTTCCTAGTATCAAAGCGTGACAATTACTTGGTGCACCTGAATAAAGGACAACACTGCTGAACATCACCCTACACTTTCTGTTGAACAAGGGAACCTGAGTCAAGAAAAAACAACATGACAACACTACCCTCCACATAGACAAGAACAAATGTCACAAAGCAATAGTAACAGGTGCTGTAGTGACTGTAAACTCATCCTCAAGCTACAGGTTAATGAATGAGATATTTTTTAATGTCTCAAATAAATAAACCAAATAAATCAATAAATAAAGGAGAAGAAAACTAATTTTCTTTACCATTTTTAAGATAAAATATTTGTAAATCAAAAAGAATATAAATTATTTAATATTTAAAGTATATATATAAGCCAACTTTTACTAAGAAACTACTTTTATTTTTTATATTACTTTTTATTTTCTATTTATGCCATATACTAATATTAAGCTAGGATTTTGGTAGCCAGCAAATTGGTTTTAATCTAAACTATTTGTTCCTATATATAAATTAGAGTCTTGGAGTTAATATTCCATTTTTATAGTTCATGCACTTTATGGAAGTAAAGGGGAACTTGAGGAGTGTTTGGATTTATGCTTTTGGTTTAAATCTATTTTTTACATTGTTTTATTGTTTTAGCTTTTTTCATTTCTTCTCTTTTACTTTTCTTTTTTTCATTCATCTCCATGGCACAGCAGTAGCTTCCTCCTTCTTTGACTCTAGAGTAGTAATTGATACAATTGTTTAATGTTATGTGATTACAATTGAACAATTGATAACAATATTCATGGCATGTGGTATAACTTTTTTTGCTCTTATTATTAATTCTTGTGCTCACCTGGAGTTATTCCATGGAAGTCCTAGAGATGATGTGTACCATTGGTTCAATCACTTTACAGTGATTCCCATGTATCATTTTTAGAATGATGCCCAACATTTGCATAAGTTTCCCATATATCTCCAAAGAACAATTTTTGGTTTAGGCACAATTATTCGTGCAGATTAAAAATTTCTCCTAGACATCTTCAAGTATGTATTTGGATATGGTGATGATTATGATAATACTTTCTTCATTTCCATTATGTGTTGACTGAATTAGTTATGCAACTTAGTGTTTACTTTTGAAACCTTTTACTTTATGTGGAGCCAAATATGTCAAAGCATATCAAATTATAACTAACTCTTCATTAAAATTTTGTGGGACTTAGATATGCACTTGCTTAACAACCCTTAATGATGTTCTTTGACTAGCACAATACTATAAGATATCACCTTTCCCACTTATCATTACATATATTTCAACTCCACTTTTTGTGGGAGATGATTTTATTGTTAGAGATTAACACTATTGTTATTTGTGTTCAAGGACAATGATGAGGACATGGTCATAATGTTCACTACTATGTGTGTGATAAGGTTGACCATACATATCGACATTGCTGGCATTTCCCAGATTGGTGTCCTTCATTTCTTAGGTGGAGATTTTGGTGTCAATAACATTTTATTGGTGTTGTTGCAATAGAAAGCCACGACATAAAGATTCTTCTGAGAAATAATGAATCATATAAATAGCGAGGGGTCCTTATGCAAATAAGTTAGTGACCCTTTTATCCTTCTTTCAAAAATACTATCAAGGGGTTTACTTGGCATAAATTCATCTAATATTCATTTTCCAAATTTGTTTTTATAATAAAAGGTCCCCTATTATCCTTTTTGTATTAATTGATATAGATTTAAATTTATCTTCTATTGCTTGGTTTATTACCTCATGTTGCTATCTATAATTGTGTTATGCAACAAAGGTAGTCTTCATTTTTTATAGCAATTGTTGTACACATACATGTGTATAGATGAAATCTAATTGTGTATATAGATGATCTTGAGCTTGCATTCCAATTATTCTGGTGGTGTTGAGTCAAGCTTTTGATTTTATCCTTGATATGAATTAGTTGTAGTATAATCATGCCAAGTGTGACTTTAAAAGCTTTTCCCCCTTGTCTCATACTTCCTCATCTATTGCAAATATGATTTTAGGTATCAAAATATACTTATTATTTAATCTTTTTGAATATTCTCTGTTTATTACTATAAAATTAGGAGGTTGGTACTGTTGGTTCTCTTTATTAATCTTCACCTAAGCTAGTTGAGAAACTAAGGCATATCAACTTACACTTGCTGATGTTGGGAACCCTCACAAAATTGAGTTTAGTCCTTTAAAATCTCTATATAATAACTTAAAGTGTTTGCCACCTTCACTATTATAACCCATATGCTATTTATTATAAGTTTCTAGATTTGCTAGTGAGGTATATTTATAGAATGTAGAGAGTGTCTTAAGTAGTATGGTGTTATTCCTACTTTCTAATTCATTATCTAATGCCATTCAATATTTAGTAAATTTTCAAATTTATTCTTAAAAATTAACTCTTAAGACTAGGGTAAAGCCCAAAGCAAGCTTTAATGTAGAGGGGGCAGAGGGGATTCTAAGTGTATAATAAGGATAGTAGTAAAACAAATAACCAATAATCTAATACATTATTTTACTTCCTACTAGGCTGTTACTTCTTCTTTTATGTTCAACTTGTGTTTAATCCAAAGTTCTATACTACTCTAGTTAGTGTAGCCACCAGTATGCCAATATTATACCATACTTCATCTAATACTATTTTGCATGTAAGAGTTGAATATAGGGAGCTGATGGTTATAGATAATTTGGGTGTGTATTATACCCTTGTTTTATAGTGCAATATGCTTGGAGTTTAAATCTAAATTCATATACACTATATCATCTTTTCTTCTATTCCTCTCATTTTTGTTCTATTTTGTTTTTTACTTCCATCACTTTTGTCTTCTTATTACTTTCTATTATATTTCTTTCTTGACCTTTTATTCCCTCTTTAGATACTTTAGGCAACTTTTGTGTTGTAGCAATTGACTAGCTCAAAAAAAAGTATATAGATCTACGTTGGTGAACTAACGACTTCGCCCCAGACAATCCAAGAGATCAGCAGTGTGAGGAAGAGGGTATATACCAAGGATCATCACTTCGTTTTAATGGACAATAGTCGATGCAGAAACAAATACTCCCATTAGGCTTTGTTACAAGATGAGGTTCACATGCCCAAGGACTCCGTGACTTCCAAATAACACCCTTTTCCAACATCTTCTTGACCTTTGCACGTAAAATCTTGATCTCTTTGAGTGACCGACA